GCTATGTTAGTTAGTTTATTGGGATAAAAAGTGATCACTGACTCGACAGATCTCCATGCGGTTGGCTGCCTCCTCCATCTCTTCCCTGAGGTGGTCGGCCTTGGCTCCTGTTGGCTGCAGGTTGCTGGACAGTCCAGAAGATTTGGTAGACTGAGTGTACCTGTGAGCAGAAGGTAGGTTTCAGTAAGAAGTGAATTTGAGTCACAAAAGTAGTCAGGATTTTTTTAGGGCAGCATGTTAAACTGTTAGAAGGCATTTTTCTTTGCCTTTAGCAGATCTAGACTTTTGTTCCCGAGTGAGAAAAGCGTTGACAGCGAGACCTGACAGCTACTTTAACAAAGTGACTCACATAAACAAATCAAACTGTTGAAGGCAATGGATTAAGTCTGTGGCTGACAAAATACTAACACTTGTCTTTCTATATACCCTCATTTATTCAGCTTAAGCTGTTTTGTCTTTTAAGTATTGCTCTCAGACTCTCCTCTTCCCCCTCCATCCATCTGTCTGTCAGTGTAGATAATGTGTAGAACTGCCAGAGGAGCTCAGCACACAGCAGCATAATGGGAAAAATTGCTTTAGATTTGGGTCACTAAAGAACTGGCTGGCTGGACCGCAGTGAGGAAAACAACATTTCTGCATGTCACTGCTCAAAATGGCAGTGAATCAGCTGAAAGAAACTGTGGCAGTTGCCCGTTTCAAACAGGATCAGGCACTACTGACTTTATTCTGCATCAGCTAGACGCCATTAAAAGTTAAATTTACCTGAAAGTTAACTGAAGTTAAGAAATAGCTGCATAAAAACCCTCAAAGTTACAAAGCCAGTGCAGCTGTGAGACATCAGACCGATCCTCTGCAGAGTAAAACGGATTATGTGGTGAGTTATTAATGCATGTGTATATATTAAAGCTGGATGCAATCGACTGGTTTGAGAGGCCACATTTGCGAAGCCTCGAACAGCTGCCACCTTATCTTTTTGAAACCAGACATCACGCGCAAGAAACCGCGGGACAGTCCATGCTCATATCGTGGACATACCTTGCTTTACTGCCTTTCTGGACACTAATGGGGACCATAATTTAAAAACTGAAAATGATGTTGTTCTTATTAAGACAGTAGTGTCAAAATGCATCAAGAGCCCAGAAGATCATCGAAGTACATGGAGGACATTTACAACACACGCCGCCTCAGCAAAGCCACCAGTATCTGTGTGAACCCCTCACATGCACACACAAAGCTCACAATCACAGCCTCATCTTCAACAATTTACACTAATGAGCTATATTGGCAGATATTTTATATTTTTTAAAATTTTAATTCGTTTACCGAGTTTCTAAGAAGTTGCTTTTGTATCTCATTGGACTGTAAATAAAGGAATTATTTAAATCCATAAACTAATCAGGAAAACAATTCCTGAGGTCACAGATCAAGGGAGTCTATGGTTGCTTTCCCGTAGACTTCTATACAACAAATGTCTTTTTGTGACCAGGGGAGTCGCCCCCTGCTGACTATTAGAAAGACTGCAGGAAGCTACATCCGTCCTTTAATTTTATAATCTGATATAAAGCACTCCTATGTCAACACAGCCATAAAATCAGGCTTAGAAAGCCTTTTTTCTTTCCAATTTTGTCCACTAGCATTTAGTTCTAGTCAAAAATAATAAACAGCACCCTCAAAAATAAAAGTCCGCTTCTACAGCAGCTCAGGAAGTAAAGGTTTCATTTCAGTGTTTGAGCCTATTGCTCTAAACACCTTCACACTGATACACAATCTGTTTAGCAGGAAGTGTGAGGAGGAATCCGCCAGTGGTCTGTGGTATTTGAAGCACGAGTGTAACAGCTACAGACATCAGTATGAAGGTCCACACTGAGTGTGTTCGTTACAGAAAAAAAGGACAGTCTGGTTTAAAGTGAGGTTTTCACACACGGGCAGCAGTCTGCGGTGTGAGGCAGACGGCGGCGTCACGGTGTGCAACAAAATCCCAGTGACATTCAGTGGGAAGCTGCACAGCCAGTCCATTCACAGCTGATGGAGTTTCTCCGATAACAGCCAAGCCTCTCTCTCACACACACTCACACACAGAGAAACACACTCACCGTGTGCGTGCAGAATCCATGTCCAGGACCAGCTTCGCTAAATGTTTCCTTTGTTTCTGGATATTTGGGATTTCCACCTGAGAGGACAGAGCAGAGATTTTCCTTCAGTCTGCTGTGTTAGTGTGAAAGAGGACAACAAACAGCCTCAGTATTGTGAGGCTTTGCACCTGTAGCAGCAGAATCAGTCTGGGCAGCACTTTCTCATTCTCATGGAGATTAGCTTACTGGCTAATTTGCAGAGCAATAAGTAGAGTTCATCAGAGAAGTCCCGTGTTTGGGGACTGGAGGCAGGAAGCTCCAATCTTCTTGCTATCAGTTTCTAACTTTTTATCACTTCAAAGTATTTTATTCATAGATACAGGGCACCTTAATGAGCAAAACTACACAACAGTCCTGTCATGCTGAAACAGCTCATACCTCGTGTGAATTACATGTTGCCCCCTTTCCTTCTTTTCTATTTTTCTATTAAAAAAAAATAATGAAAAATAAACCATTTTTATAATGTTTTTCTGCCCTGTTGAATTTCAGATGCTCTATAATCATATCACAATTATATTTCCACTTTTTCTTACCAGGACGCATTTTGGACTCCTTTTCTAATCAGATGCTTGCTGTTACTGCTGTTAATGTGACTGGAGCTCATTTATTAAACAGTTAGTCGCACGGCATTGTTTCTGTACCTCTGCGAGCTCGTACAAGGGTTCGGTCACGTCCCTCTCGATGGTGAGCTCGAACAAGATGAGCTCCTGAGCGAGCTTTTCCTGCGTGTCGCCGCAGAGCTTCAGCATCTTTCTGCAACAGGAAATATCACAGCGGATTCACCGAGTGCAACATACGCAGGTCAGTGTTACAGCTCGCTTCCTGGTTTGTAATATTGAGGTTTCTCTTGAATCACTGTGAAAACCTCATTTCTTTATAGTTTGCTTCTATAATATCTGTAGTTGGACACTGGCTGCTTTTTCACTCATGCTCAGTACAGTTCTTGTACCTAACCATTTTCAAATTGTTGTTTTAAGTCACTTAAAGTGACTCATGACTCAATTAAGCAATAAAAATGCAACTCAGACATTAAACCAGTGATGTATCTGCACATAATAAACAATTATTAACTAGCAAAGAACCTTGTTTGTTGCAAAAGCACATAATTTCTTCCCATTTCTTTAGTTGAAGCCGTCTGACAGGCATAAAATACTATTTTTGCACCAACGAGGTGACTTCTAAAGAATGTCATTATATATCATTACAGATATTATTATTATACTCGGGATGTGAAAAGCAAATCAGTTCTGGGTCATAAAAATGTTCCTCTCTGCATCAGCCTTTCCAAAGAAAATGTTTCCAATCTCATCGATGATCAACAATAATGTAAATTACTGTGTGTGTGTGTGTGTGTGTGTGTGTGTGTGTGTGTGTGTGTGTGTGTGTGTGTGTGTGTG